TATTTGCCTGAAATTTTCAAGATTCCATTTTTTCTGCTGATTGTGTAAGTGTACCACATTTTCTGTACTTATTCTTCGGTTGAGAGACATCTATGTTGCTTCCAAGTTCTGGCTCTGTTTAGTTCTGTACCCTATATTTTAATTGGATTATTTGGTGTTTTGGTGACTAGCTTCTTGAGTTCTTTGTATATTTTGGAAATCAGCCCTCTGTCAGATGTGAGGTTGTTGGTTATCTTTTCCCATTCTGTGGGCTGCCTTTTTGTCTTGTTGACTGTGTCTTTTGCTTTACAGAAGCTTCTCAGTTTCAGGAGGTCCCACTTATTAATTGTTAATTTCAGTGTCTGTGCTACTGCTGTTATGTTCAGGAAGTAATTTATTGTACCAATTTGTTCAAGGGTACCTCCCACTTTCTCTTCTAAGAGGTTCAGTGTGAGGTCTTTGATCCATTTGGACTTAAGTTTTGTGCATGGTGATATATATGCATCTATCTGCAATCTTCTACACGTCCACATCCAGTTATGCCAGCACCATTTGTTGAAGATTCTTTCTTTTTTCCATTGTATAGTTTTATCTTTGTCAAAGATCATGTGTTCATAGGTGTGTGGGCTAATATCAGGGTCTTCAGTTCAATTTCATTGGTCTGTCTGTCTGTTTTGTGCCAATACCAAGATGTTTTCATTACTATGGCTCTATAGTAGAGCTTGAAATCAAGAATGGTGATGCCTTCTGAAGTTCCTTTATTGTACAGAGTCTATTTGGTATTCGGTAAGCTTCTTTTACTTTCATAGGCATGCCCTTCTTCAAGTTGGGAAAGTTTTCTTCTGTGATTTTGTTGAATTTATTTTCTGCACCTTTGAGCTGGATATGTTTGCCTTCTGTACTTATTATTCTTGGGTTTTTTCTTCCATTTCTTTAAGGGATTTTCTCATATCCTCTTTGAGGGCTTCTATCATTTTCATGAAGTTGTTTTTAAGGTCATTCTCTTCTGCTTCTTCTGCATTGGGATGTTCAGGTCTTGCTGGTGTAGAATTCCTAGACTCTGTGAGTGCCATATAAGTCTTTCTGTTGTTGGATGTGTTCTTTTACTCTCCTCTTTCCATCTCTTCTTCCAGTGGGTACAGGTGGTGTCTCTTCCTCTCTTGGTGGGTATAGGTTCAAGGCTCTACCCTCTCCTCTGTCCTGGAGGGTGCAGGGGCAAGATAGGAATGATGGCTGATGCTGGATGTTTTGTTCTGCCTCCAGGTCCATCTGGGAGATTTGGTGGTGGTGGGGGGTCTGGCGGTAGGAGGGGTCTGGCAGCAGCAGGTCAGGGGACTCCAAGAGGGAAAGGTGGGCTAGAAGACCCCTTGGCACTCACCTCTCTACCAGTGGGTAGAGGGGCAAGACAGCAATACAGCTCAAGTTTTTTGTTGTTGTTGTTTTGTTTTGTTTTGATTTTTGTTTTTTTTTTGTAGTTGTTTTGAGACAGGGTTTCTCTTCATTGGTTTGGAGATTGTCCTGGAACTCGCTCTTTAGACCAGACTGGCCTTGAACTCACAGAGATCCACCTGTCTCTGTCTCCCGAGTGCTGGGATTAAAGGCATGAACCACCAACACCCGGCCCCAGCTAAAATTTTAAAGACAGAATTTCTCAGTGAACCTGGAACTCACTGACTGACTTTCAGGTCAGAGAATCCCAGGAATCCCATCTCTATCTCTCAGCACTACCATGCCCATATTTCTGTATGGGTGCCAAATGAAACACTCGCCTTCACGCTATATCATCTTCTTAGCCCATAATATCTTCATTTTCTATAGATATGGGCAGGTCCCTCAAGTCAGAGTGAGAAAGAGCCTGTCATGGAAGGCTGACAGCCTGAGTTTGATCCCTGGGACCCAAGAGAAAAGGACAGAACTGACTCCTGAAAGCTGTTTTGTGACCAACACATGCATGCCCTGGTACACTTGTGCATCCTTACTCAATAATAATTTTTAAAAGATACTGCTCTTGAATTGTTCCCCGTAGTGGTAGAAACCCTGCTGGATCTCTTTTACTGTGTAGCACTTAGTGAGTGGGAGCATCAGGAATTTGGCTTCTTCCTGAATAACCAGAGAATCTACCCACTCAGTGTGTGTGTGAAATAAGTGCATTTATATGAAACTCATGAATTTTCATCATGAATGAACAAACATCAGCGGTCAACAGGCAAAAAAAAATGCACATCCTTTCTCGTGATCTGTATCAAAAAGCCTACTTAAATAAATCAGAAGAAAGAAGTTATAGGCTTTAAATTCCCAGGGCTTTCATTTTGTTATGAATGGATTAAGTTGGGGAACTTATAAAAAAGCAATTTTATGAGAGAGATTTGGAGCAAGATAAAGTGGGTGTATGCTGTTAGTTTAAAGACAAAGTGTTAGATTATTGTGGAATGTTGGGATAAGTGTACTTACATGTAACAAATGCTGTGACTATATTCTGCATGTAAAGTATGAGGTCTGGGTGAAAGGAATCTCCCTTAGTTTCCATATTCAGAAACCAGAGTCACCTACAGGACTTGTTGAAGTTCACTCCAGAGTTTTTGGTTGAGAGTTTCTTGGAAGGACCTGAGCACTGACATTTCTAGAACGTTCCATGGTGTTGCTGACCTCTTCTAAGACTGAGGCCTGCTTTAATGCTGCAGGTGACTCTCCCAGGGTTTGCTTGGACACTTGAAGTGAGGGATGACAACTGCAGGTGCCACTAGGATAACTTTCTTCGATTTAACTGATATGGCATGGCAATTGTTTCCCAGGAACTCTACCCCTGGCCTTAATTCTGCCAGCTGGAATGTCTCTGGATACCCTTAATCCCTTATAAGTGACTCAGCAAACACATTTACTCCAAGGAAAAGAACAGAGAAGTGTTCACTTGGCACACTATGCTTGTTATGTTCCATGCCACAGACTGTTCAATTTATTCTACTTTCTAACACCCATGTTTAAAATTTAAAAACAGTAAAATGCATAAAAGTTATGTATAAGTATTGATGAGTTGTACACACACATACACATTCATACATTTACATTTGGGACACCCATATTGCTATACTGTACATCAAACATAGGATACTTCCCATCAAAGGTTCTTTTATATTCTTTCTAACTTAGTGCCAAAGGAGCACTCACCCTACTTCAATTGCCTCTGGAAAGGTTGAACTTGACTTTGAACTCTATGTAAATGAAGAATAGAGAATACATTCTTCACTCTCTGATGCTTTCCCTCAACATGACTATTAGCATCACCTGTAGGTTCTTTCATTGTGATAGTTATATATCATCCTGAGTGTGACATTGAATTCCCCCTTCTACTTTGCAAATACAGAAGTTTGGTAATAACCTTCCTAGTGTAGTGCTTAGCATGAACCAGGATGGTGATAAATACACCATGTCACTGACCTTTTCAAGAACATAACATTAGTACTGCTATTAAGGTATTTTACAGATGGCTTGGTAACCTATGCAAGAACTCACACATAGTACGAAGTGGATCAGTATCTTTTTATTAATTATTTATTTTGCATACAAACTGCATTTCCCCTCCTTTCCCTCCTCCTGATCTCTCCCTCCACCTCTTCTCTACCTCCCAATCCAATTCTCAGAAAGGGTAAGGCCTCCCATAGGAGTCAACAAAGCATGGCATATCAAGTTCAGGCAGAACCATGCGCTTCCCCCTGCATCACGGTTGAGTGAGGCATCCCACTACAGGGAATAGGTTCCAAAAAGCCAACTCATGTACCACTGCTAGGGGTCCCACAAGCAGACCAAGGTACTTAACTGTCACCCACATACAGAGGGCCTAGGTCAGTCCCATGCATGCTCCATAGCTGTTGGTCTAGAGTCCGTGAGCTCCCAAGAGCTCAGGTCAACTGTCTCTGTGGATTTCTCCATCATGATCATGATTCTGCTTACTCCCTCCCTCCCTCCCTCCCTCCCTCCCTCCCTCCCTCCCTCCCTCCCTCCCTCTCTCTCTTTTGGTTTTTTGAGACAGGGTTTCTCTGTATTGTTTTGGAGGCTGTCATGGAACTCGCTCTGTAGACCAGGCTGGCCTCAGACTCACAGAGATCCACCTGCCTCTGCCACCTGAATGCTGGGATTAAAGGCGTGTGCCACCAACACCCAGCTTCCTCCTCCCTCTCTTCAAATGACTCTTGGAGCTTGGCCCAGTGCCTGGCTGTAGATCTCTGCATCTGCTTCCATCAGTTACTGGGTAAAGGTTCTATGATGACAATTAGGGTAATTCAGGCACCCTCTCCACTATTTCTAGGAGTCTTAGCTAGGGTCATCCTTGTGGAATCCTGGGAGTTTTCCTGGCACCAGCTTTCTTCCTAACCCCATAATTGTCTTCTCTATCAAGATATGCCTTTCATTGCTCTCCCTCTCTCTCCCTCCCCCAACTCGGATATTCTGATACCTCATGTTTCCATCCTCCATCCCCTCCCCTATATCCACCCCTTCACCAGTTTACCCAGGAGATCTCACTGTTTTCCCTTCCTAGAGCAAGTAGATCAGTATTTTAACACAAGTTCTTCTGACTCACTGGGATGGTTAATATTGCCAATCTGACAAGACCCAGAATCACCCAAGAGATAATCTGACATGTTTGTGAAGGATCATGTAGATTAGGTTTATTGCAATGGAAAAGATGAGTCTCACAATGGGTGAGACTGTTCCATGGGATGGGGTCCTGGACTGGATGAAAAGGAGAAATTGGGTTGAATAGGGCATTCATTTCTCTGCCTTCTGACGTTGGTTTCAGTATGAACAACTTCCACTCTGTTATAGTTTGTATCCTCTCAAACAATGAGCTCAAATAAACCATTTCTTTCTTGAGAAATTAACAAGCCTCCTTAGAAGAGGCCAGAAGAACTTCAAACATCCAACGGATGGAAGTCTAACATCCTGTGTCTATGCAAGAAGGTAATTCTTTCCAGGAAAAGTCTTTATGATCTCAGATATTTATTGTGTTTATATCTTACTTGCAGGTGATGTGGGTCCTCCCCCTTCTACTGTCATCAACCAAAATGAAACTTTTGCCAAAGTTATTTTTAAGCCTACTGTGGTCCAACAAGCTAAGATTGCCCAGAATGGAATTTTGGGAGATTTCATCATTCGATATGATGTCAAGAGAGAGCAGACCATTGGTGACATTCAGGTAATGACTTCGATGATACCACTATATGCTAAGCATGATCCTTTCTGTTCAATTCAGAACTATGGATTTCAATACTTACCTAAAGGTGAAAGATATGTCTGGTTCTCAGTAAAACTCTTTAAACCCAAAAATATGTCTTCAAAGAAACTAGTGATGCTCCCTTGCTGGCTGCCAAGGGTACCTATTTCGTGCTTCAGTAACCTAGACAGCAAATGAAATCTATAATATAATTTTCCCTGTGGTGTTTTAGATGAGGTTAGAATTTTAGCACTTCTTCAACTTTAATTAAAAGAGACTGTTCCGTAGCTTATTTCCCTTTAGGTTGTATTGCTGCAGAGACAAGGTGAGAATATTAAAATATGTGGAGGTGCACATTGAATGTAGACAACATTGATACCTCTCTGTGTAAGATGTTTAGTAAAAATAGATAATGAAAGAAGCAGGATTCTCAAGAACCAAGGTCAGAATAAGATGCATAATTTATGGTCTATGCATCTATACCTATGCTTACATTTATATTATTTTCAAGGTGATGGAGATTGAACCCTGGGATAAACACATCCTCAGCAAGCACTTTATCATTGAGATTTACCCCCAGCCCATGATGAATACTTTTAAAAGAGATGGTTATTATATTAATTTTAAAAGAGATGGTTATTATATTAATTAACAACTAACTCTCTTGGAGGGACCAAGACTGTAAATAATTTTGTTCTTGGTGTGGAATGTAGCTCTAGACTGTCTAATATCATCTTTATGTTTCATGCCATCTTTGTGTTTTGGAAGTTCCAAAGACTGTTCTAATAATGTCCTTCCTTTTACTTAATGCTACTTTGGTTACTTTATTTTCTTCTACCAGGTTCTGAATGGCTACTTTGTGCACTACTTTGCCCCTAAAGACCTCCCTCCTTTACCCAAGAATGTGGTTTTCGTGCTTGACATCAGTGCATCCATGGTGGGAACGAAACTCCAGCAGGTAAGTGAGTGCCACCTGCCCTTTATTGGATCATGCTTTGATTGGGACAATGATCTACCTTGTGAATTAAATTATATTCAGTTGGTGCCAAATGTCTGCTTTACTACCCAGCTATTCCTACTTACAGACATCATTATGCTGACTCATGTAAGCCATTGATAGATACTATGAATTGAAGAAAGCAGAAGGAAGGCTAGAGAAAACATATTGGCAGAGAGGACAATGTGTGTGAAATAGGAACATTGAGAGGGCCACTCAACAGTACAGTTAGCTGACCATGGTGATGTACATTGAAACACAAATACTTAGGAAACTAAGGCAGAAGGAACACAAGTTCAGGGCTAGCCTGAGATACATAGCAAGTTTCAGGACAGTCTGGGATACATAGTGACACCTAGTTCAAACAAGGCAAAATGAAACAAAACAAAATGAAACAAAAACATGCCATAGTAACAAAACTTGTGTTCAGTGAGGATTCCTTTATGAACAATGGAACAGAACCCTTACAAGTCCCTTTGGCATATCCACAGAACGAAGAATTCAGGTCTCAATGATTCAGGAGTAATTCTCACAAAATCAAAGCCCGTCTCCACAGCTCCAAGTTCAGAAGGGTCATTAGAGGGCATTTACATTGTTGGGTGACTTATATTGTTGTTTTTGAAAGTAAACAAAATTAACTTTTTTTCCCTTCTGGGAGATTTTTTTTTATTGGTATCTGATTTTGTGGTTTTCCTCATTTATATTAGTTTTCTGTAGTTTTAGAATAATGGCTTCTTATTTATTCTTCCTGAAAGCTTTTCTTTTCATAATTTATGAATTTGTGAATTCATAGGAGTGATATTAACTTTCATTGACAACTGGTCACAATCTAGATTCACTCAGGAAGGAAGCCACAGTCAGGGTTCATCTGAATAAGGTTGCCCAGGAGGCAAATCTAGGGAGATCTTTATTATGTTAACTGAGATGAGAAGAATCCCCACCATGAACAGCATCATTACCTAGGGGATTCTGAACCATCTAAGAGTGAAGAAAAGTAGCTGAGCACATAGGTGCATTAATCTCTAGAAAGACTATATTGATTTATAATAATAATCATCATCATAATAATAATCATAATCATAATAAACCTGTCCCAGATACATTAAATGGCTAAGTAAAGATAATCAGTGAGCTACACTCAAAGCTATGAAAAAATAGGTTCATTATTAACTAGTTTTATAGCAAAGAGCAAGTTTTTAAGGATAAAAATAAAAGATGAAAGTGATTACACAGGAAAAAAAACAATTATTTCAGGTAAAAGAAAAATGTAAATGTCCACTATAAATTAAAAAAAGCAATAAATGATTGGAAAGCTATATGCAGGAAAAAAGATAACTGTTTATCATCCATAAACAGTGAGCTATTCCAGATCACTAAGAAATAAACCTTCACAAGAAAGTGAAAAAAGTGTGCTTAATGATTATGAGGGTCCCGAGTACTCTCTCAACCATTAACACACACTTTAAAACATCATGAGGCTTCTACCCAAATGCTGGTGTTGATTTTCATTTTTAACAGTAGTTATGTATAAAAGATATTCTATTCAAGAGAAAACAGTTACACTAAGTAAAACACGCATGTAGATTCCCATAGGGCAAACTTATTATTATTGTAAGAATCAGCACTGAAGTGTTACTGGCTGCTGTGGCAAGGCTCATGGCAGGCTGATGGCCACTGGAAGGGGGAGATGGAGATTAAGGAAATCAGATTTATTCAGAGGCCAGCACCGTGGAAAATGGAGCTGGGACAGAGAGCAAGCCCACTCTCAAGAAAAATCAATCCATTTCAGGAAACTCAAAAGTTAAAAATCTCAAGCATTTTATAGGGAAGGAAACTAGGGTCTGTGAGCATTGGGCCACAAGGCTATGTGTTGGACTGGCGTTTGCCATCTAAGATGCATGTCTCTGGCCAGAACAAGGAATCAGTATCGACGCTACGAAAATGCCTAGTTGTGGTTAAAATATGTTTGTTAATTGAACATTACATCATTATATTTATGATGTAAACTTGTGGAAGACAAGGTTAATGAAATACTGTTGGCAGGTAAGACTGGTTTCTGTAACAATTTAGGCAAAAATGTATTCTTTCTTCAAATCCAACCCCTTAGTGCATGCTGTGTCTGTTTTATATAAAAGTGAAGGATGAGGTAGATCATTACACATTCGGATGTGATCTCGATATCACAAGACATCCTGGACTTTGTAAATAAAAGAAAGATCATTTCTTTAAAAAAAGAAAGCGAACAAAGGATGTAAGACAATCCATGAGAAAAACAATCATTAAGAATATGAAAAAGGGAGGCAAATACATTAACAAAGAAAAGCAACTGACAGGGATCACAGAGTGCTTGAAGCCTAGCATTCGTTAAGTCCTGGTACAACTCCCAGGTTGTGGTGATGCCCTCCTGTGATCCCAGCACTCTGGAGGTGGAGGCAGGAGGATCAGGAAGTTCAAGGTCACCCTTGACAACATAGCAGTCCCATGCCAGTCAGCGATAAATGGGAGCTTATTTAAAGCAAAAACAAACACACACAGCAAAAACAGCATAAAAATAAACACATTTTTATCTCCATAGATTAAAACTATACATATTATTAATTATTCATAAGGACACCTTGAATAATATGCATTTCCATATATTACAGAGTATTATTTCTCAATAAAGTTTTAAGAAGTACAGGAGTGGGAAAATGCTCAGCCAGTCTACAGTCGCCACCCCACTCACTGTGAGATCATTTGTTCCCAAAGGCTGAATCCCCTCCAGGGCCTGTCTTCGAGTGCCCAAGTTACTTCACAGCTTGAGTCCAAGACCAGCTTTAGCACACGTGGTCTTCTGAGCAGGTGGTGGTCAAGGATATCCTTATCTATAAGCTTGACTGTTGTCCACATTTGATCTCAGCACTTTAGGCTGAATGAGGCTGGAGGATTGTGAATTCAAGACCAGCCAGGGCTAATAATAACACAACCCTTTCAAAATAAATTAATAAATAAAAAGGGTGAAAAGAAAGAAAGAAATCTTGCCAAGTAAGTTTCAGAAAAGTAGAGGTAAATCACATCCAAACCATTTAGAGAAATCAACTAACCAAACAAACAAAGGAATGAATCAAGGCTCCTCTGAATTCACCTTTAACCATAAAATAAGCATGGGCCTCTCATATGGCTCATATACACACCTATGTACATATACACTGTGGTGGAGGGTGTCCTTAATGCAGGGTCTCTCATTGAACATGGAGTTCCCTGATTGCCTAGACTGGCTGTCCAGGATCCTCCTGTTTCTCCCTCTCCAGTGGTGGGATTACACACACATGCTGCCTTGTGCAGATTTTACCTTGGTGCTGGGTATGAAATTTAAGTTCTTATGCTTGCATGGTAAGCACTTTACAGAGACTGTACCATCTCTCCAGACACTTGAAGACCTCTTACAAATAGATTAGGGCAATATTCAACATGGTATTTATTATCCTCAGTATATTACATGAATTATGTCATATGGATATGTTCAATCTTTATAACCATTTCACTACCATTCCATTTTATCGATGAAGAACTGAGGGTTTGCACAGGTGCATAACCTGACCAATAAGTGGTAGGTTCAGGCCTTGGTTCCAGGTCTCCTCTGAAGCCCAGGAAAGAAACCATGAGAGCACCACACCATTGTGTGAGCTACATCATGCAGCCAAGAGAGGTGTAGGTGGATGCAAGATCAATGCTGTTTCTTAGTTTACGACGTAATTGAGAAGGCTGCGTACTAGAAGGCATGAGTTTCCTCCTTTGTGCAAGAACAATCCAATGACTGATGTGAGACCATCGCTATTCTTTCTTCTGTCATTTCTGGACATTAAAATCCTATTCCTTGCTAGTCACTGTCAGTTTGGCATGCTTCTTTCTACTGGCTTCTAAGCAACAGCATGGCCCCTTTCCAGGAGAATCACCCTGGGACAGCCAAACACATGTATGAGCAATTTGCAAAGCCCCTTGCTGCCTTGAGTGGTTTTGCAAACTCCTATTTTAGCAATCCATAATTTCTCAAAAGCCACAGCACTGGGTGAAAAGCTCGGCTGGCTTGTGGTAGTCTCATAGACGATGGTGTGTAACTGGTGAAAGAGACAGCTGTCCCAAGCACAAGGCTTCTGCATTGTGTCAACAGACTGGCAATATGAGACATTTGTCACAGGTCCGCTTGGATCCTGTTATGAATCATACTCCATGTTTTTGGCTTCTCATAACTTTGACAGGCTTGTACAATTTTGCTCTTCTTATCATTAGGTTAGGTGTATAGCTGGTATTTAATAATTAATCAAGGGCTTCGGAGATGGTTCAATGGGTGAGGGCAGTAGCCTTGCAAACCTGATGACGTGAGTTTGTCCCCCAAGGGTTGTCCTCTGACTTCTACACATGTGTAATGACACACAAGAGTGCATATGCCCCCCCAAAATTAATTTAGCAATAACTAACAGTTGGTTTATAAAGAACTGTAAACATTGAGCTGGGGTGATGGCTTTGTCAGCAAAGTGCCTGCCATGCAAGAATAAGGACTTGTTTTGGATACCCAGCATCCATGTGAAAGAAACTGGGTGTGATGACTCGGGCCTGTACTGTCAGAACTAGGGAGGCAGAGACAGGAATATCTCTACGGGTTTTTGACAAGACAGTTTAGCAGGATTGGTGAGCTCCAGGCTCAGTTAAAGGCTATCTCAAACCAACAAGCAAGTAAGTAAGTAAAGGACTGAAGAAGACATGTGATGCTGACACCTGCCTTCACACCTGTGAGCGTACACATGAATACATACATACATACATACATACACATACCCTCCCCACACAAACAATAAAGTTCATTTGACCTGGAAAAAATACATGCACAGTAGGGGGCATGCCTGTACCTGGGAGCTCCTAAATCTGTATGCATGCAGAATTTTCTGATTCTTTTTTAGTGTGCAGGGAATGTGCATCTGGGT